ACCGCTCTGACCGGTCAGCAACGGTTACGGTCAATGACCGGTCACAACGGTTATGACCGTAACCGTGCCCATCCCTACTACAGGCACATTTCCATCTTTTGGAGAATATGATCTTAAATCAGACGGTTGTAAAAAATGGTATTGCGAAAAACTTCGTTATCATTGCCCGATTAGAAAAACTGATGGTTGGTTTTTAGTGGATGATTATGAAGTATTTAAAATTGTCAAAAAAGTTTGATGTTAACATTTATTACTAGCTTTATATTATAGTTATCTATTACCCTTATATATTGATTACTTGTATCATGAAATACTTACACTAAAATTTAAAGTTTGAGATTTAAACTTAAAATCAAGATTTTTAGACCATTTATTTGTACTTGGAGCATAAACTTTTAATATAGTGTTTCGAGATATTTAAGCTATGGTATTCAGCACTTATAGTGCATTTTATCAAACTTAAAAATAAAATTTCAATATTACTTATTTGTATAATAACCTTTGACGATCAATTCATCCGTTTGTAAAAAATGCAAATTCGAAAACTTTTTTTATTGAAATTTGACTTGTATCTAATTTCTTTCATATTCGATAAATAATATGTATGGAAGAGTAGTAATAGCAATTGTAATGGCTATTTCAACTTTTATCTACTTATTATATCGTAAAAATGGTGATGAAAATTTCTTTTCCTGGAATTTCAATCTAAACATTCACGATAAAGATCTATATGAACTTGGTGCTGAGAAAAGGGACAAGATTAACAAAACAAAAACTTTAGCAAAAAATTGATTATAAATTCTATAATAAATTATAAGAAATCTAAACTTTAAAGATTTATACTACAAAATTTATTAAAATAACAATATTTGTTCTTTAGGTAAAAAATGTTCTCGGGCTAATTTTGGATTAGCCCACGCAAAATTAATTTTTGTTTTGTATAACATGGAATCTGAAAAATTGGTCGGTTCTATCAGATAATTACAGAATATATCGATAAAATTAAGGAAAAAATAAATTGCAAAAATCGAATAATTGGCACAAATGAGATTTTAAAAAAAATTGATCATTTGAAAAAATGGGTCGGCGAGTTATGCAAAACAAAACGAAAAATTAAACATTGTTTGACCTTAGTTAAGCCAAAAGAAGATTTGTAAAAAATTGTCAATTTTGGTCTCTTTTCTCAGCATACGTATAGCCAGGGTTGGCACATTTGTCCATTGGTATGAATGGACCCCAGGTCCATTGACCAGTTCCATTGGTTCCATTGGAC